GATTTTCGCTCTCCTAAGGGACTCTATAAATTCAGGTTGCTAACAAGGGTCTCAAGAATAGTTCTATAGGAATTTCCAGCTTAAAGACTCAATCTCACACTCTCACGCTATTGACTAAGCCACACCCAATAACCCTAAGATTTTTCTCTTGCTCGCTTCGTAGTTAAAAGATGAATTTTGAAAACTAACAAAGCCTAACCGAAGCCTAAAGCACTCTCGCTGCATTTAAGTCCAGTGCTCAGTGTCTACTATCTGGTGATTACCTCAAACTCACGCGATATTGGACACACCTTAATACATTTCTCACTCTCGTGACCAAACGCTGTTAAGAGGCTTCTCGCTCTCATCTTTGTCGTGAGAGCGAGAAGCCTCTTAACAGCGTTTGGTCACGAGAGTGAGAAACGTATTAAGGTGTTTCCAATAGAGCGAGAGTTTGAGGTAATCACCAGATAGTAGACACTGAGCACTGGACTTAAATGCAACAAAAGCTCTTTAGGCTTCGGTTAGGCTTTTTTAGTTTTCAAAATTCATCTTTTAACTACCAAGCGAGCGAGAGAAAAATCTTGGGGTTATTGGGTGTGGCTTGGTCAATAGCGCGAGAGTGTGAGATTCAATCTTTAAGCCGACAATTCCTACATAACTATTCTTGAGACCCTTGTTAGCATCTGAAATTTATAAAGTCCCTTAGTAGCATGGAAATCATTCTTCGGTCTCGTTTCGTTATCTACTTTAAACCCGTCAGTATTAGTTATTTTTCTGCTCCTTTTTATTCTGTGACATTAAGCCTTAGCTCTACAATGCAATATAGATCACTTTAGGTTGATTATTAATCCTTGTGGGTTTGACAATCTTTTAAAACTACGCGATACACTGTATGCTTGCAGTTCTATCCGACCAATACTCTAAGTCCATGATCAATCGGCGTCCTGGTCGTTGTGGCGACGGGCTGCGAGACTCGTACGGTTGGTGTCTACGCGGGGGAGAGCGTGTACGACGGTCTCTTTCCAACACTCTGATCCTCTTGTTCTGCTGATAGATCAGGGCATTAGTCTGGTTGAGGGCTGCGACCAAGGCTGCCATGGTCGGGTCGGCATTGGTTGGCACTAGGATTGGCTAGAAATTTTCTCGCGCCTTCTCCGGAGTCTTTTGGAGTTTCTGGGTTTCAACGTACTGGATGTTGTTGTCGTCGTCCGCCTCGTCGAAAAAAGGGGAGGCGGTATGCCTGTCTCTCTTCGAAGGCGTAGTGTCTTCCAGGATTGGCATGTCATTGTCATTACCAATGTCGTGGAGGGAAGTGAAGGCGTTTTTGTAACTGTTGTTGTCGTGTTGATCGGCCATGATTGACAGTTTTAAGAATGTTGCTTTGGTTTTTAGGTTTCAGAGAAAGAAAAGACGGGGGAAGCAAAGGATTCTCACAGACGGCGCCACTGATCTTACCATGATCAGAAGAATCTTCAGTGGCCAACAAAACCCCGTGGTCTTCAACTTCAGGTGAGAAAAATAGGGGGAGGAGTGTACCTGCAAGACACTCTGATACTAAAATAAGTATAGAGTGAAGAAAGGCAAGTACATAAGTGAGAAGTGGAATTGAATGGAGTACCTGACCCTCTATTTGAAGAGGATATTTATAGAGCCCCTAACGTTGGGCCAACAGTCTCCATTATAGGTTGGGTGATCCGGCCCTTAATGAATGACTGATAGGATTCCTACGTGGCAGTAGAGATGAGCAGCTCGTACTCACCATCTAGTGTCAACTACCCCACGTTTTCTGGGAAGTGGAAGGTGTGCCCATTGCGAAGGGCAAAACGTTTCTGCGAGATCAGCTGGCCACGTATCCTCAGGTGAGAAGCACGAGGGGGACGTGCTCTCCAATGGCTACCACGGATTGGGCCTTTGTGTTGAGCCTTCTTCGACGCGGAGCTGGACTAGGTTGTGCCTAGCAGTGGGCCAGCCCCAGGGCCAGTCCAGAACAAAACCTATATTAGAGTAGCTTTCCCCCTTGAATTTCCAACAGCAAATAATCAAATTCCATGGCTATGGTGTTTTTCCCCTTTAAGAGTTTCCTAGGTTTGTCTCTTTTTCTCAATTCTCAAATTTTTACATATCAAACAAAAGGCTCCCTTCACCTTTTCTATATATTTAACCTAATTTTTCTGAATTTAGTAGTTACATTTTAGCCCTAACTCTTTTCTACTTATCACCACTTTATCTCACTTTTCTATTAATTACAATTTCCACCCACTCTCTCACAACTTGTTATTTTCTATTATTTTAATTATTATTCTATTATTTTAATTACTTAAAACTAACTAATTATTATAATCAATTCCTATCACTCTCTATAATTCTCCCAAAAATACTCACAATTGCCAAATAGCCATATAACACACATTATCACTGAAATAACTAATTAAAAAAAATTAATCACTTAAATAATTAAACAAAAGCGACAAAAATTGAATTTGGGGTGTTACACCTCATCTTTGCAATCCTCTCATGATCTAAAAGTTTTCTCTTAATCGGAAGATACAACAGACACGACACGTCGTCAAGTGTGATAGACATCCCACCAAATGGTAGATAAAATAATAAGGTCTCAGTATGTCATCTCTCTACAAATGCATTAAGCATCTCGTGGTTCACCATAACATAATCGATCTTGCATAAGTCATTCATCCCAGATAATTGTAAAGCAGCTTGAAACCATTCATCATTAGGCTGATGCAAGCCAGTAATCATTTGCCCCCGGTTAATAAATTCTAGCGGATCACGGTCCTGAAGAAAAATAAATCATCATCAGAAACTTGTAATATATTCATAAACGTAATTTAAAAAGAATGAATCCAAATAATTTTACCTCTTTGTCCCAAATATATTTGGCAGTATGGTCCAGATAAACAAGCAACAGTGACAACTCTAACGAGTCTCCTCCAAATACATGAGGTGACACTGACTCATCAGCCTGAGATCCCTCCGGTGCCTGGGGTAACACTAATGCCTCAGGTACCTTAGGTGACTCAGATACCTCTGGCGCCTCGGGTGCCTGAATAGGTGAAACTTGTCACCTACGGGAAGATGAAGGCAGTGATGCATTACCAGGTGACATTCGTCTCCTACGGAAAGAAGAAGATGGAGTTATATAAGCCCTAGAAGTCGACGCCTCCACATCAATTGGGATAGAGGGAATAAGATCCTTCAAAACCAAACTTTTTTCCTCCTGACAGATGCATGTTCTGCAATCTTATCATGCCTTAATTTGTCATCTCTATCAACCATAATATTTGTAAGTAAACCAGACAAGTGTCACACAATTACTACAAGCAACCCTATAAGCAAGAAAAATAAACTAGACTGATAAAATATGGAGATGCATCTTCAGTTCCTGAGTATCCAAACGTTGAAAAAATACGGAGATGCATCTCCAGAATTTCCTGCAACTTTTGTTTTCGTCAACAGCGCTAATGCAGATCACCAAACCCCCAAAAATAATGCATTGATCATTACTTTTAACTATAAAACATATTTTTCATTATACTCTCAAACATGCATAAATTAAGTATTTCAATACATAATCATCAATTTCGACAAATTTCTACAAAAAGTCAAAAAAAATTAACAATAATAAGAAACTTACAAGTGAGAAATCTTTGAAGTTAATGTAGTTGAATAAACTCTTTGATGTCGTCCGGTAATAATTGAAGAAGCTTTGATGTTGCTTGATTGATTTTGAAACAATGTGATTTTGAGAGTTTTAGAGAAAACTTTGTTTTTTTAACAACTGTGGAAGAAGGGTTTTGGCATGTTATGTATTGACAGCGTCTGAAGATGAAGATGCATCTCTGTAATGTTTACGAAGATACATCTCCTTAATTTTTTTTTAACATTAAGTTAGATTTATGTTAACTTAAGATGCGTCTGAAGATACATCTCTAAAATTTAAAAACATTTTTGTATTTTTACATAGCACCTTAATAATAGAATGCATTAAATCTCCAAATTTTAAACCTTAAATTTTGGGCCCATTTTTTAAAGCCTCGTAAATTGACGGCTATACCCACACCTTACTCACCGTCAAATTCAACATATTTTCCCCTTTATAAAACTTAGCTATAGTCAACCCATAAAGCCAACCGAATCTATTCCTCAGATTTTGGGTGAGCTTACACTAGTAAACCCCTTCTTCCACTTAACTACTATCCCTCGACCAATTAGGTTCTCTCTAGAACCTTTACTCACATCACCCTCCTCTAACTTATATTTGCAAAAAAGAACCTTAAACCACAATCTCTCTATCAGTCTTGTACCTCCAACACCAATCTTGAGAACTTCCTCACAACCTCCCATAAAAATGTTTATAAAAGAGATTGAATTTTATAAATTATACATCAAAGTGTCCTGAAAGAGAAAAAAAAGGAAACAACCGAAAGAGCATATAAGACAAAATTAAAAATAATAAGGTCACAACATAGACGGATTATGATTTCTCAAGCTAAAAAATCTCATGTAAATCCTATCAATTACCAAATTTCAAAAGGAACGTCTTTTAGGAATATCACCAATTGACAACCCCAAATGTTTGAAAGACAATATACCCCCTTACAATATAATAGCACAAATGTTTCACTAAACAAATAATTATTGACATTCACACATGCAAGAAGGATTTTGTGAAATTTTATCCTCAAACTAAAGGTCAATTCAAATGGTAAAAGAATCGATTTTATTGCTCAGATGTTTGGCCAACTTTTAGTACCCAAACATAAGATTTTCTCACATGCATAAACTTCAAAGAATATTACTATACAAAATCCATTTTCTCACCCAAAATTTCAAAATCTACATCATTTGGCCTGCTGCACCAGATTTAGTCACGGTTAGTTCGGGTTTTTGGCAATCAATTCTTTTGTACCCTGGCCTTAACTGTATTTGTACCAATCTTAATCATGATGTCCTCCGAAGGTCACGTTCTGTAGTATTAACTTACTGAAATTTAGATTCCATCATATAGATTTCAAAACTTCTCCAAGGACTAGTCCCCATTGAGTCCAATGAGTGCCTCCCTGCATTTGTAAAATAAATCAAGTTAACATGTAATAGTGAATCATATTCATAGTTAGTAAACTATTGTTTGATGCGGATAGAAGAGACTTAAATAACATCAATGATGCATAATCAAAATACCTGGCAAAATACAGTAAATGGTTCTCTAAGAGGTCCATCACATGAAAGCTCACTAGTACTCCCGTCAATGAAGGTTCCATCGGCAAAAATCACCTGACAAGATTGATATCTAAGTGTTCTTAAAATCTCTTGGGACTTATGATCGCAGAGTAATAATGAGCATCATACAAATTTGGGAGGGGGCTGTAAAGGTTAATCTGAGCAGACCTCTGATGCATATCCAGGAGAGGTACCCGCAATTGGTTTGGTGTATGACCCCACGGGAGAACTTCTTTGAACAGCCTCACAGAAAGCGAGGAGACGCTCACGGCTTCCAAGCTGTACAGCCTATTGGCGTTGAAGATTAATTTTAGCTATCATTGAAATAATTATCTTCTATATATAATTATACCTTGAAACTGAAAGAAACACCTAAGTGACTGGTTTTTGCTTACATCAAGAACAGCTTTTCTAACAGAAACATAATTTTGCTAGTACTTCTGATGACTTAACATTAAAATTAAAAATCAGATGCCTGTTTCATCTAGAAAGAAAAATAGCACAGGTTAAGCAGGAAAACCTGAACAGTATCACATCTAGGGACACGAGGGAGTGGCTGCACTTTATAACCTTTAGATGCCAAAACTTCAGCAATCAGGAAGGAACCCTTGTAAAGAAAATGGAAAGTCTCACTACCAGATAAAAGCAAATAAGATCTTATAATGAAATGACGAATATGATACCTTGATTGCTTCCCCAACCATTTGAGGTGAAAGAAACAATCCCTGGAAAAAGGCTCTCATGATATCACCGGGAGTTGAACCACAATCCACACCAAGCCCAGGTGCAGAAAGACGCGCTGCAGCTGCTTCAACCAGTTTCTTTTTCCCAGCAACATATCCACCACATGGTGCAACTGTTCCACCAGGATTCTTGATCAAGCTGCCCGCCATCAAATCTGCACCCTGCCGACCAACATAGAAATGTGATGCTGCACACATCCTTGGAGTAAAGCAATACATACTGTAGCACATTATAACATACCACCATGGGAGGTTCAATGCTTTCCACAAGTTCTCCATAGCAATTGTCCACCATGACTGAACACTCAGGATTTTGCATCTGAACATTCAAGGACAAGTCACAGCAATAATATCAGCTTCAAAGCATAATGTTACACTTTAAAAGCAAAGAGCACAACTATGAATCTTACTTTGATAATTTGGATCGCTCTTCCTATGTCATTAACACTCAAACTCTGACGCCAAGAATAACCACAAGACCTCTGTATGAGTGCACATTTTGTTTCGGGTTTAACAGCACTCGTCAGTGCATTCCAGTCAAGTCCACCATCCTCGGCAAGCTGATGAAAAAATGTTAAGTGTCATAAAGAAGACTAATGAGTTAACTCTAGAAAATTAATTACGAATAAGTTGCATACTGGAACTTCTCGGTATTTCACCCCAAAATCTTGGAGGGAACCCAAACCACCAGAGTCCCGTTTCCCAATTACTTCCTCTAAAGTGTCATAAGGAGCACCAGCAACTGCCAAAAGCTGATAGCTATATTAGTCTAAAAACTTTAATCCAGTTACAAACTCAACAGGAAAACATTTCACAACTATATAGCTAAACTACTGGTAAAGAATGGAAAGCATAGAATATCAGAACAAGAAAAGAAAAGTGTTACCTCATCTCCTGGCCTCAAGAGAGCAAATAAAGCACATGTGATGGCATGAGTACCTGAGAAAAACTGTTAACAAATGAGAATATTATGTAAGCGTATGTTTGGGTCCACTCTTGGAAGAAACAAAATTGATCTTAGAGGCGTCAAATCGATTTCAACATGTTTGGATATTCTTCAAATAGAATTGAACTTGCTTCCACAATTGATTATAACTTTGAAACTATAATTTGGAGTTTATGTCTCTACAGCTGATTTTTAGTCCTAAATTTATTGTTCAACCCACTTTTATATAAATATATCAACACATAAATCACTTTACATTCACCTCATTTATAGTCATAATCAATTCATTCAAAATCAATTTTTGTCTGTGCATAACCAAAACACACACTATGTAATAAGCCCCATATAGCAACTTCAGGAAGAACATTAAGGGCCTGTTTGGATAAACAGTTTATTTGGAGCGTATAGCACAAGTACTTATCAAAATAAGCACTTAAGAAAAAGCTTGCATAAGTTATTTTTCTAGCAAAAGATGAAAGAAATTTAAATTATTTTTATATATTCTATAAATTGTTTTTCATAATTGTTTTTTGAGAACTGACAAAAAAAAGTTCAAAAAAGTTTATGAATAATTCTATAAGCTGTTTTAATAAATTCTTTCAAATAGTATCACAAAACTTATGGGATAAGATAAGCTCAAATAAGTCAATCCAAACAGACCCTAAATATAACCTAATATAAAGAAACCAGAGAAAGTCAAGAACCTGAGAACGAACAATAGCCGATTCCGCTCCAACAATTTCTGCAAAAGCCTGGTCAAGAGCTTCACGTCCCCCAGCTTCATCGTGGCCATAGCCAGTGGAACCACCAAAGTGCTGATATAAATATGCATGTGAACAAACAATCAGAGACCTATTTAAATTCACTTATCTGAACTTATTTATTGAAATAGGACTTGTTTAGATTGTCCTATATGACTTTATCTGCTACCATAAGTTTTTCATAGTTTTTTTAAATTTGTTTCATAAATTTATTAAAATAGCTTATGAAAATAACATATAGCATATATAAAAACAATTTAAATTTATTGTATTTTTTTGTTATAAAAAAAGTTTATGCAAGCTTATTCATAAGCACTTATTTTGATAAGCACTTATTCTTTAAACAACTATTGATTTAGAAAGGGATTATCGAAATGAAAGGGGATGGTTATGGTTACATACATGAGAACCAAGCCGAGCATTCTGAAAAGCTTTAAGGACACGGGTGGAATTGTATGCAACTAAATTATCCACGGCTCTGAACTCTGAATGCAAGGAATCAACGGCTTTTACAACCTGCATTTCAAGAAAATCAACTCTTATTGTTATTGCTAAAGTTCAATGGTTTTGAAGGGAGTTAAATTGTAGTATGAGAAATTCGAAGAGTACCTCTGGAACGAATGGATTGACAGGGATGGAGAGGCGAGGGGTGTAGCGAACGGTGGCGGTTGAAACGGGGTTTTGAACACGATGCGCAGGATAAGCAGAGAAGGCGCACGTTATGGCCCACATTCTTCCTTCCTTATCTTGCTCTCTTTTAAGTTTTTCTTTTTTCTAACTCAACCTCCTTTAAACTTTTTAAGTTGACAAAAATGTCATGAACTATCAACCAATTAAAATTAGATTTATAAAAAAAATCCACTAAAATTGAATTGATCTATTAGTAATTCATAATTGCCCTTTTAAATTTAAAATTTTATATTAAGAAAATGGTAAATCAGTAATCAACCAATGTTGTCCTTTTTAAGCATGTCAAGTGTGCATTTTTACATTTTAAATTATTTAATTTTTCTTTCTTCAATTTCAAATATATGTTCATAAAAAGCGAAACTCCTTATTTTGTTACTACTCTCATTTCATTTCTTCCCTCTTTTATATATATATATATATATATATATATATATATATATATATATATATATATATATATATATATATATATATATATATATATATATATATATATATATATATATATATATATATATATATATATATATATATATATATATATATATATATATATATATATATATATATATATATATATATATATATATATATATATGATCTTACCAAAATAAAAATCTTCAGTAGTCAACAAATCTTCAGTAGTCAACAACACGCTGTGATTTTCAACTTCAGGTGAGAAAAACATGGGGGTGTACCTGCAAGGTATTTCAATGTTAAAGTAATTACAGAATAAAGAAAGGCAAGTACTGAAGTGAGAAGTGGAATTGAACTGAATACCTGACCCTTTATTAGAAGAGGGTATTTATAAAGCCCCCAGTGCTGAGTCAATGGTCTTCATTATGGGCTGAATAATCAGGCCCATAATGGATTACTGCCAGGATTCCTACGTGGAAGTAGGGATGAGCAGCTCGTGTCAATCATCTTGGGTCAACTGCTCCGCATTCCCCAAAGTGGAAGATGTGCGCGTTATGAAGGGCAAAACATTTCCGCGAGGTGAGCAAGATCGGGTGGCCATATGTCCTCAGGCGAGGAGCACGTGGGGAATGTGCTCTTCCAACAGCCATAATAGATTGGGCCTTCTTTGACGTGGAGCCAGATTGGGTTGTGCCCGACGGTGGGCCAACCCTAGGTCCAATTCAGAACAGGAGTCCCCCAAGTCGTTGCTCCAAGGCAGAGGAGTGATGACTTAAAGTCAGTTCTCTTGTCGAAGAGGGGAAAAGGATGTCTACGCGAGGAGAGAGTTTATTCAGGTTCGAGGCTGTGAGCTCGTGGAGCTATGCTCACGAGGGAGCGTGAGAGTTATCCCTCGTACTCAACAACGTGTGCATGTTAAAAGCTTTTCATTGATTTTTTGCCTGCGGATACTTTGAGCAGTCGCGTGTTTTCGACAACATGATCCTGCTTCGGGTTTTATCACCAAGGCCATGTGCTCGTGAGGATGCCAAAGTTGGCTATGCTCGCGGTGACATGCCCGACACCTTGGAATTCGGTAGATCGTGTGGACTTGAAGAGACAAATATGTCGTCTCTTCGAGATGTGTGCTGGGAGTTGAAGAGCCAAACATGTCATGTCCTCGGGCCACGTGATGATACTCGAAAGAACAGACATAATGTCTCTTCGAGCCACGTGTCAAAACATTAAATGCCTATGAAGGCCTACGAGCAGGGGCACTTGAGAGCCTAGGCGAGGATGCATTTTCCCATGCTAGGGTTATAAGTATGGAGAAGTGGGACTCATTTGCTCATCTCGCTCTCACTCTCTTCATCAATGTTCTCTTTGTTCGCAGAGCGTTTCTCTGTCGCCGCCGCCGCTACATCAAGCTTTCTCTGAATCGTGTTCAACTATATTCTAAACCAAGTAAGCATCCTTGTTTGATCTTTGACTCGTCTATAGTTTAGAACGTAGGTTTGCATGTTGTGCTCCGGCGGTTGCTAGTGTTTGGAGATGGCTTGGCCACTTCGAAAGTATGGCGGTAGGAGAGCCTTGCTCTTAGAAATGCTAGGGTTTGAATGGAAAGTCGCTCCAGCACCTCCACCAAGGTGGCGATGGTGACTTTTTTCGGTAGCGCTATGAGTTTTTTTGATGAAGTTATTGCACCGAGGAGGATCTTCCCCGCGACGTTCATGAGCTTCCCTTGAAGTTCTTCCCTCGAAGAGGATCTTCCTCGCGACGTTCATGAGTTTCATTTGAAGTTCTTGCACCGAGAAGGATCTTCCTCGTGACATTCATGAGTTTGTTGTGATTGTCCTCGTATTTTGGATAGATCCTCGCGTCAGGGAGGCTCCTCCTCGTGGGGTCCCATATTTGTGTTGAATCCTCTTGTCAAGGATAATCCTTATCGGGGTATCATCGACTGGTCGACTAGGGTCACCCCGGGGAGGAGATCCCCCCGAGTTCCTTGCTCCATTGAGTAAGGGCTTTGGTCAAGGCAGCATGCTTGTGCTTACCTTCGCCCTTTCAGTTAATTTGTAGTGGAAGGGTGTATTTGATTTGATCGTCGAATTCACTATTTTCCTCTATGTTTCAGGTTTCAATGGTTCGTAGCGCAAAAGGTCACGAGCTGGTCGACACCATCACTGATAACGATCTAGCTTGGGTTGGGTTGGAGCCTTGGGGATAGCCTCGCGCTTTGTTGATTTTCTTGAGAGCGCGTTCACCGTCGTCGATGAGACTGGGGATGTCGATGGAGCTGAAGAGGAATGGTCGATCTACAAACTGCCCCGGAAGCGCAGATCTACTCCACTTTTACGAAGAACCACTTCTCTATGTACGACTTCGTGTTTAAGGAGTTAGGCCTCCGACTTCCGTTCAGTGGCCTACAAGTGGGTTTTTTTTGCCCGATTACAGTTGGCACCCTCATAGTTGTACCCGAACGCGATTGCCTTTATTCTGGCTTTCGAGATCGTGTGTGACTATCTCGAGATCAGAGCTACCCTTCCGATTTTTTTCTATTGCTTTCACCTCCAACAACAGTCCATGAACAGGAAACACAGTTGGGTGTCTTTGAAGCCCCCAAAGAAGTTGTTCAAAGAATTCTCAGACTCCGTTCGTGCTTTTATGGACCAATACTATGTGATCAAATATGTGCCCCTGATGGCCATCTACTTCGTGTTTGATCTTATGCTGAAGTTCGAGAAGGATGGAAGCATGTGCCTCGATGAGGATGGGAACGATGTGATGAAGTTGTCTCTGAAGTTCCCCCTTCACTGGACAGACACCCACTTCAAGCATGGCACAGACCATTATATTATAAAACTCCACGAAATGGATGTCGATGATCAATGTGGCTATGTCAAGCTTGTGAAGTTTGTGGACGACTTTGTCTCGGCTTATTGGCAGACCAGAGATGAGAAAGTTGTCCTCGACGAGCGGGGTTACGTTAAGTTGGAGCCCCGATACATTAATACTAGGGAGCTTCTTGAGTGTAGAACCTCTGAGACGGCTAAGCTGCTCTTAGGTAGTTGTTTTTCTTTTAACTTGCGCGTTTATCATTTCTCGGCATACTGGTCTTTGTTTTTTGTCACGGGTAACATGTCGAGCCTTCAGGAGTGTATGCTCAAAATGGATGCGAAAGGTGGAAAAAAAAGCTCCAAGAACAGGCTTGTTGATCTCCAGACTCAGTCGAGAGTAATATTGATCTCATAAAAAAAAATTTTAGAGAAGTACAATTATATTAACAAAATGTAGATTAATACACTTAAGGCAACAAAAAATGAATTTCTCCAAAATGTTTTCCACTACATTATGTTATTGAGAGCCCCTTAATCTTCAATTAGTCATTCACATTTAAGCAATTTCTGATGTTGATTTTCTTTCTCTTTTGCTAAGATTTCTAACCTCTTTTTTTTATTCTTGATAAGCAAGTCCTTGTCATCTTTCACTTCTACACAAAACCAATCAAAATAATCATATAAATTATAGTTGTATTCTCTTGCACATGTTACATACAACACTACCCACTATGTAAAATTGAAATGGCAAACTTAACAAGATAGATCATACCTTACAATGTGGACATCCCCAAAATTGCTTCCCATAATTTTTTACTGTTTTTGCCCTTCTAAGTACAGTAAGATCACCACACCAACAGTTAGGTCACCATTGATAATATATCTTTTTTAACCGTTATTGTATGTGTTTTTTGTAGTAGTGTTTCTATTTGATTCAATTTCATTAGAGGTTTTCTGTTAGGCTGGTTCGATTTTAAACACCTCTATATACTCCCCATCGTGGTGCTTATTAGATAAGAATATATAGATTGGGTGAAATATACGTTGGAATCTATTTAACAAATCTCTCTCTCTCTCTCTCTCTCTCTCTCTCTCTCTCTCTCTCTCTCTCTCTCTCTCTCTCTCTCTCTCTCTCTCTCTCTCTCTCTCTCTCTCTCTCTCTCTCTCTCTCTCTCTCTCTCTCTCTCTCTCTTTTTCTCTCTGTGTGTGTGTGTGTGTTAATTTAACAATCTAGGGGTATCCTTTGTACTATTTCGTCCATATCTATACTAAATTATAATTATATAACTTATCTCATCAAAATTTCCCATCAAAATTTATAATAAATAATAGGTTTAATAACTTTTTCGATCTCGTATCTTAATCTCTGTGTTTATTTTGCTCATTTAACTTAAAAATGTTTCAAATGACCAATTTTTTTTGGTCTTTTTTACGATGATAGTAATATTTCCATTGTGTTTTTGCTTGATTTTGAGATATTACAATCTACTTTCTATTAAGAATATCCATTTAAAGAAGAAAATGGAAGAGAAGAATCATTCATTATCCTCTTTTACACCCCCTTGAAGTAGGGGCTTAGGATTTTAATATTTAATCATAGATATTCTCACATTTTATGTGGTGTTAGTTCTTTCTACTTATTAATTTGATACCATTTTATTATATTATTAATCAAATGTTTTTATAAATATCTTCGTATAAGTTAAGGAGATGCATATTTGGACTCATTTTTAATCAAATACACGACAGAGTCTCTTTTCCTTCCTCACTTCTCAAAATACTCTTAAAACTCACAAACTCTCCAAACTC